GTACCGCTCTATACTTTACCACATATAAAGGACACATATCCAGCCATATTTATTATATTTGGCGGCATGAAATTCCTTTTTTTTCTCGTCCAATAACGCATGCTTTCCTCTTATTAATGCACATCGCAGTCCGGCAGATCTCACGCACTTGACTGCAGAGCGGAAGGCCGCGAGGTCGATCCTCGAGGCCGGACCAATATTTACTTTTGCCCTGCAAACGGCCAGATCTTTTCGTGGCTCGGATGAACACGTAAAGTGCCGCTCCCTTCGTCTCTAGTGTAGGAGATGTGAAATTTATTAGGTGTCCTTTATTCCCTCGTGCTAAAAATTTACAATCTAATGAAAAATGTTTTTCTTTTCTAATTCAGTTTCTTCTAATTTTCCCTCCTTCATGGCTCTACCGTTTTGTCACCTTCCGACGGTAGCGAAAAAGTTATCTTAGAAGTGCCTTCGCGTAATTCTAAACATCAGCTCCCTCTCTTTGTGAAACATAGGCGAACTGTCTTGTCATTAAACTCCTAAGAGCCATATCCAAGTTCAGAAAGCGGAATTAAAGTTAGTCGTCTTCTGTCTGTACACCCTCCATAAAACGTGAAATTAGGCAATTCTACTTCGAAGTCGGGCATTGACGGCAAAGAAATGTACAAAAAAGCGCAATGCAAGTGCAAAGTTGCTTTTCCGACGTTCTCGTTGCGTCGTTAAAACATAGAGTGGTGTTTTCTCTCAAATGGAAACGCGTATGAGCTCGTATTGGAGAGTTTGCTAAACTTCTTGAAAATATGATATTACATTTCCACTTTGTAATCAACTTAGAAGACTAAAGCCCAGAGATGTTACTTACCTAGACTTCTGTCCCGAGGCAGGAGCTTATTCGAGAAAGTGTTGCGAAAGAACACGAAGGATTAAATGGAATTGCTTCAATTGCAGAAAATTAAAACTTGTGCGGTAATTAACACCTCTTAAGTCACTTTATTTTGGAGTCAATTAGCAGAAAAAAAAGGCGGGGCTAGATATTTGTTAACGTTATACGACTATTTATTATTAATCGACAAATCTTCGGTTTTCTTACATTTTACTCTCTGAAATTGTAAGTAAGACTATTCAATAAAAGTATGAATACATGCAAGAAGATCATCAAAAGATTTCAAGTTGCGAAGTCTCAGGGGCAATGTGTACGCTATCCTATTATAAAAGACCGAAAATATTTTGAGCTGTTGTGGTATGGTTCCTATAAAAGTTTCACCATTCAGAGCAGATAAATTGAAAACAATTTTAAGCTAATGAAAGGTTTCCTATTAAAATACCTATTCACTGAAAAGCAATGGAAACCGCTGAAAAACGTTTTTAAGCCGCTTTTAAGCCGCGATCACGGATCCGATTTTTGGACATTCAGCTGGAAGAAATTGCAAATAGAAAGTTCACGGGGCAACATTATACTGACATTGATATTGAACCCCTCCTCTTCTTCCTTTTGTTCGATGCCATAATGGATTCATGGATCATCCCGGCCCGGAAGTATTGGTGCCCCGTTCTCCGAGTATCAGCTCGCATATGAAAACTTGCCCAGAGCTGAGTCTTTACGAGGCCATTAGCAAAACTATCTTCTTTAATTTCGTCTGCCAAATCATGGACTTTTTCTCTTCATCCGCCATTAGCTTTATCTTCATGGCGGGTCATTCATTCGCACATGCCGTTCCTATAAAATATATATTTACAATTTATGATTAACTTCAAGAAGAAACCTAATGCCCCTCACGAAGATTTCCTAATTCTAGGGATTATTTGGAGAGATGTTTTTTTTTTTTTGTAATCATCGAGAACATGAAAGAGAAATACAAGTTGACAAAGGCTAATGTATCACCAAACGACTAAGTCTTCCTAATTTATTAATGAAATGTTATCTCAGAGGAGCAACTTTAAATGATCTCAGAGTCAGTACTTTTTTTTTTCAGAAGATTTTGAATTGCAGCCGGCAATGTGAACTTTACCTCCAGCACACTTATCTTGATTTAACTTTAACTAATGAGCTCTATAAAGGAATAATATATTATGGAGTTCTACTAAACAGTTATTGAATCAGCTGAGTAAGGTATAAAGAATTACGCTGATGAAAGCGGATATCCACCTCAGCAGGTTCAAGACCTGCAAAATTCTTATTCTTAATCTTGCATATGGAAAATTTGCCAAACCCACCTAAAGCCACAAATATGTAATTAGCAGGTGAAGTTTAATAGCGGATCTACGTAATAATCAACCAGATGTCTAACTGGAAATAGTGAAAAATGATTTTCTTTCCTATAACGGACACACTACAACCCTTTTGTTTTACGTCTGCGTGTTGGCGATCGAAGTACTGACGGACTTTCTATCGAACGATTTTTTAGAAAGAAAATACAGCAGAGTGCACTTTCAGAGACTCATGCGTATTCAAAAATAAAGATTGCCATGTAAAAAAATCTTAAGCTTTGTCATTTATATCGCGAGACCTTAACAGTGAATATTTGTTAGATTACCAAATTGATTTGAAAGTATATAGCGCTATATACCTGGACCGGTTGCATCTCCTTAGAACGCACCAAAAAAGGTCAAATATATCTAAGGGTACCCTGGGTGCCAGAGGCCTTTCATTCGCGGTTTCCCGTTTCGTTCAAGTCTAAAAAGTGACCCGCGCGAAAAGCGAAAGGGTTTTTCTTGCGACTTCGCCGCTCGTGTCCTCGGCCTTAGGCACGCGAGAAAAAACCTCTGGTACGCAGGGTAATCTAAGGGTGCTAATTCATGGAAATCTCTTGTGCAAGTATCATGTCGCAAATTAAGGTAAAACTGATTTTGGCGTTATTTTGTTACACTATATCACATTCTGTACCGCTCTATACTTTACCACATGTAAAGGACACCTATCCAGCCTTATTTATCATGTTTGACAGCATGGCCAAAGCCACATAAAGCCACAAATATGTAATTAGTAGATGACTTTTTAGAGCGGATCTACGTAAAAATCAACTAGATGTCTTTGAAACAGTGAAAAATGATATTTTCTTCCTACAACAGATACTTTACAACACTTTTATTTTGTTTTACGCCTACTTGGCGAAGTAGTACATACTTTCTATCCAACGATTTTTTTCCTGTGATCAGTCCCAATGGAATGAACCAAAATAGAGAGAAAATACAGCGGAATACATTTTCAGAGACTCATGTATTCAAAAATAAAGATTGCCATGTAAAGAAATCTGCGCGACCTTAAGTCAGAAAAACGTTAGAGTACCAAATTGATATTTGAAAGTATATTTCACCATATACCTGGACCGGCTACATCTCCTTAAAACACACACACAAAGAAGTCACGAAACATATCTAAGGGTGCTGATTCATGAAAATCTCTCGTGAAAATACCATATGGCAAATGGGTAAAACATTTTGGCGTTATTGCTATGCTATATCACATTCTGTACCACTCTATACTTTACCACATGCAAAGGACACCTAAACGTGCAGCGTGCAACCATGGAGTTGTGGATGCACGCGGGAGGTTGCTAAGCACGAAAGAAGCGTAAGAGTTGCACGTGGCGATAGCCGAGTGCGACTCTAGCTTCTTGAGTGCTTAGCAAACCTCCCAAGTGCATCCATAACTCCATGGTTGCACAGCTGCAACGTTTACCATTTCTTTTATAACATAATCAAAAGAGAAAAACATTATTTTCCATTTGCCTTCGGTTGAGTCATCGGTACGAGTTCAAGTATGCTGCCACCTGCCCGCGCGTAAACAAATCATGCTCTATGTTTTTCAAAAACTTGCCTTTGAGTTTTTCTTTCGCTGAATCAACCGTTCTCCGTCTTCAGGTAAACTGCAAAACGTTTTTCGTTGTTATTCCGAATGGCATCTGTCTACTTGCTATTAATATTAGTGTAATAACTTTGAGGGAAAACTATAGCTGCAACTATAAACACCACCTAAAAAGACTCTAAAAAAACAAGCTAAAACTAAGTAAATGAAATAATTATCAATCTTATTTATGTGACATTTTTTGAAACAAACGCAAAGTAGAAATGAGAAAATTTGAAGGTAATTCCTTTAAAATAACAGGTAACACTAATTTTAAAAAGAAATTAACTAGCTTTGTATCGAAATCTGTCTGGGGAAATCCAGCTATGAAAGTCAAAGTTAAAACTGAAATTCGCCGACACACAGCCGGCGCTGAAGCTGTTGTTTTTTCGACCGTTCTCTGAACGACTGTTATGAATGAACACCGAGGAACAAAATAATACACACAGAAGTCATTTTTTGAAAAATTTATTTGAAAACCCAAATGTTTCTGTACTCAAATGAAATTCGCTTATTCCAGCGTAATGTGCCCGTTTAAAGTCAGCTAAAATTTTTAATCGATGCGATGAAAACTTCACAACAAAGCTGTCTCGAATTTGGGCGTGTTTCCTAAAATATTTGCTTGAATTTAGCATCAGCTTGACCCAAAAAGTCAATAAAACAATGCTAATTGATAAATTTACATTTCAAACAGACTTTCTCTTCTATAAAAAACATACAAAATGTACCTTAAATCTTCGCTCGCTCGATTTTCCTTCAGCCGATTCTAGCGGCGAGGAAAACAGTGATTAATTCATCCAGGGCAAATTTGTCGCTTGATCTTTTCTTTTTTCCTTCAAAACGACAGCTTAGTATTTTCTTCAACTTCCACTTTTCATCTGTGCATTTCATCTGTGTATTTTACCGTCAGGAGAGGAGATTTGTTGAATTTGCCTAAATTTTACCGCGCTAGCTTAGTTTCTTGGCTAGACTTTCTCAAAGTCGTTCTCATGGTTTTCTGGTCGGCGCTCGTACGGTCGCGCTTCGCAATCACTGTCGCGCTACGCGCTCAAAAGATCGACTGCAAGTCTATTTCTTGGCGTGCACCCACGGGCAAATGGTAGTGGCTAACTGACCAATCAGAGCACGCGGTTTGCTTTTGTTATGTTATAATTATATTTGGCAGCATGGAATTCCTTTTTTTTCCTCCAATAACGCATGCCTTCCTCTTAATAAACATCGCAGTCCGGCAGATCTCACGCAGTACCTTTTTCAGTACCTTGGTAGGCCATTAGTTAACTCGGTCAATCACTTGACTGCAGTGTGGAAGGTCGTGGGTTCGATTCTCTTGAGGCCGGACTAATACTCAGGGTCTTACAACAGTACTGAGAAATGAAGTCAAGGTACTTCCTCTGCCCTGCATGCAAACGGATAGATCAGGCTTCGCGTAGCTAGGATGACCATGTAAAATGGAAGTCCCGTCTCCTGTATTAGACGTAACAATAATGTCGCTAACTAATACTTAATTACTATACTATTACAGTAAATACATTTACACTCAAATAAAGTGGATCTTTAAAATGAGATGACTGGAGGCAGCCATGAAATTTAATATTAACATTATAATACTTCCGGCTACCCGCTTCGTGCTCTTAAAACTGACTACCGTTGCACACTCGTCTTAGTTTAAATCATTTTTTGTTTACTGTAGTTTCAGTATTATTGCCCCATCTCCACTTAGCCGTCTCTGCTATGCCATCTATTGTGTTCCAGGGGCTGACACTATCGTTTCCAACCTGCACTTTTGGGAAAGGCCAGACCTCGTCATTAAAATCAGGGAATTCAATCCACGATAAAAATTGCTGTTGCATTTCCATAGGTTTCATCAGTTGCCAGTCTGTTACTACAGTGGAGCCAATTATTCCAAACCATCCCTTTGTGTCTTCCTCGGCCATCGACAGAACTGGAGTGTTTCCTCCAGGTACAAGGTAGGTGATGGGTTTTGTCCAATCACTGTCCTTTCCGAGGCTTTCACAGTCAGCAAAAATTTCCTTCCGGCATTGTCACAAGTAACTGTTACAGTGAATTCTAAGGGAAGGGTGTTTTTCTGATGCATTTGTTAACAGGGAGACTTAAAATTTATTTTTACTTCCACGAGGGTCCTATGAGTACAAAAGCTCAGTCCAGCATTTCAAAATTCGAAAAGTGTTTCAATTAACTTTTATTGACATGGTGAAAAACTATACTTTCTTACATAAATCGTTTTTCTTTCGCTTCTTACTTTAAGCTGATGGAACGGCTGGCGTATGTTATATTGAGCCTCATCCTTTCCTGAGGTTAATCTCTCCTTTTTCTTTAGATAGCACGTGGTGACGGACGAGTGAGACGTATTTTTCTGAGCTCCCCATTTCTTTGAGTTCTAAACGTTCTAAAACATGTCAGGTAAATCAAAAAAAGGCCAAAAGAAGCCGTCAAATCATTCTGCTAATCAGACGGCAGCAGAACAAGCGGAATTATCCGAAACCGAAGAAAGTGTGTCTTTCCGGGATGGCAACGAAGCAATAAACATGGCCGCCGGTCTTCAGGATTTTGAAGTAATTCTGACAAGACGGTTGAAGGAGCAATCTGAGTCTATTCACGATATGATGCTTAAGTACTTCAAGCTTTACAAAGATGATATAGACGAAATTAAACGAAGCCAAGCTTTTGTTGACGCCAAATTCGAAAAGGCTAAGAAGGCAACTGAAGATCTAACTTCGGAGAACCGGCGCCTGAGATCAGAAGTAGATGCCCTGAAAGGGCAGCTTAAACAGTGCGAAATTAAGCTGGAGGAAGTCGAAAACGACAGCGAGGCATTAAAGCAGTATCTTCGTCGTGATATGTTGGAAATACATGGCGTGCCTACGCGACCTGATGAAGAAACAGACGATCTTGTGTGTAAGGTTGTGGAGTTGGTTGATCCTGAGCTTGAGATCTCGTTGGCCGACATTTCTATCAGCCATCGTCTGCCAAGTAGAGAAGGCCGAAATGCCCCTCAATAATTGTAAAGTTCTGTCGTCGTAATGTCCGTGACCGTTTGTTGAGCAGAAGAGAGATAAGGAGTAAGACAGCTATGGATCTTGGTTTTACCGAAGAGTTTGACTTGTATATCAACGAGAGCTTGACACAGAAGAACCGCGAGCTTTTGGCTAAGGTTAAAGAGTTCAAGAGGGTAAATCACTTCAAGTTTGCCTGGACAAAGAATGGCAAAGTTTTGTTGCGTAAAGATGATAACCCAGCATCCCAAGTCTATTCTTTTATGTCTATGGCAAATTTTGAGGAGTTCAAGAACTCAAGACAAAGCTAAGTATCGGGCTATATGCATTGACAGTTAATTATTAGCCACTGAAGCCAAATGGCTTCTGACTCTGAGCTCCCTGAGCCTGAGCTCCCTTTTTCTCATCTAGGCAATAACGATTTTAATATTGCTTTATATGAAATGACACATGGACCTCTACATTATGATAGCGAACGATTAAGCTCTCTTTTGTACAACCCAATTGATAATTCGTCTGTCTCTAATCAGTTTTTCTTTAATGAGTTAGATCCAGATCAACAGTTTACTTTTTCTCCTCCTCCTAGTAATTATTATACTGAGGATGAAATTAATGCTAAGCTAACTAATATTTCAAATTCTCCTTGCTTCTCTGTATTTCATATTAATACACGAAGCCTAATCGGTCATTTAGATAAATTTAAATTCCTGCTTAGTCATTTGCAAAATCCATTTTCTGCCATATGCGTATCGGAAACCTGGCTAACTGAGCTTACGTCGGACCAGGTGGAAATACCTGGATATAAATTTATTTCGAACCACCGCGATAGCAAGTCCGCCGGTGGAGCAGGTCTTTATTTACTTGACGATTTAGAATACAAATTATGCCGCGATTGTAATTATTCTGAACCTGAAGTGATCGAAACTCTTTTTGTTGAAATTAACATTCCCAATGGGAAAAATATTATAGTTGGTACTGTTTATCGTCCGCCTAATTATAACACTCGGGACTTTTTGGAAAAATTTAATGAGATTCTTGCTAAAATAACTAGAAATGACAAATATTGTTATTTGGGTGGAGACTACAATATAGATCTGTTTCACTATTCCGATCATGCCCCTACTCAAGAATTTGTTGATAGTCTATTTTCCCATATGTTCATTCCTCTAATCAATAGACCGACTCGGATCACTGCTCATTCGGCCACACTTATTGATAATATATTCACGAATAATGTAAGGTGTAAACATTTCAATGGTATTGTTATTAATGATATTTCTGACCATCTACCGGTTTTTGTTTATGAAGTGGATGAGACAGAAATAGCGTCGAAAAATAGCCAAACTAAATATCTCACTAAAAGAGATTTTTCAGAAAGAAATAAGAGCAATTTTCGGCTCTCTCTTTCTCGTGTTAATTGGAATTTACGTTTCGATGAAAGCGATACTAATGAATGTTATAATAGTTTTGTGAGTGAGTATGTTCGATTATACAATGAAAGCTTTCCATTAAAAACGATAAAACTCAAAACAAAGAAAGTAATGCGCTCCCCTTGGATAACGCAATCTCTGCTTGTTTCTATCAGGAAAAAAGATAAACTCTATAAGCAGTTCATTAATTCTAGGGACTCAACTACTGAGTTAAAATACAAACGCTATCGGAACAAACTGAATCATCTTATAAAAATTGCTAAACGAAAGTACTATGATACAAAATTTGAGAAGGCTAAAAATAACCTGAAAGAAACTTGGAAACTAATCAATGATGTAATCAACAAACCGAGCAGAAAAGCAGCTCTGCCAAATTCCTTTTTCTCTGATGGAAAACTGTTAAATGATCCACAAGAAATAGCTAACTGCTTTTGTAAGTTCTTCACCAACATAGGTCCGAATTTAGCAAGGAAAATTCCAGACACACAAGTATCTTTTCGTAGTTTTCTTGGCGTTTCTGTTAATGAGTCGCTTATCTTAAATCCAACTAATATTTCGGAACTAAATCAAATATGCAACTCTTTTAAATCTGGAAAGTCGCCTGGATATGATAACGTTTCAATGGATATAATAAAAAGCACCTTTGATCTCATTTCTCAGCCTTTGGCCAATGTAATCAATTTGTCTCTTATTAAAGGAGTATTTCCTGATGAACTGAAAATTGCTAAACTGATTCCGGTATTTAAAGCTGGTGATTCCCAGTATTTCACTAACTACCGTCCAATTTCGCTTCTTTCTAATTTTTCTAAATTCTTTGAAAGAGTTATGCACAATCGTATTACAAATTTTTAGATCGTTTAGATATCTTATACTGTTGCCAATTTGGATTTCGTAAAAATATTCTACAGCGCTGTCTTTAATTCATCTTATTAATAAAATTGCAACTGCTATTGACAGAAGCGAATATACAGTTGGCATATTCTTAGACTTATCAAAAGCATTTGATACTTTAGACCATCAAATACTCTTGTCTAAGCTTGAGCATTATGGGATTCATGGGCTAGCACTTAGCTGGTTCAAAAGCTATTTGTCAAATCGCGTGCAGTTCGTCCAGTACAAAGAGACTTGTTCTATTAGGCTGACTCTGAGCTGTGGAGTCCCTCAAGGTTCTATATTAGGACCATTATTGTTTGTTTTGTATATCAATGACCTCCCTTGTGCTACTCGTCTTGCTGAAACTATGCTTTTTTGCAGATGATACTAGTGTGTTTTATTCTAATCCCGATTTAAATTGTGCTATTTCTGCCGTAAATAATGATTTATCTCAAATTGCTCTTTTTATGAAAGCAAATAAGCTCTCTGTTAACATAACGAAAACTAATTATATCATTTTTTTGCAGCAAGGCAAAAACCAGTCGGCTTCCCAATAAATCCTGTCTTGTACGATGAGGTTTTATTAAAACAAGTAAAGGTAGTTAAATTTTTAGGGGTTTTTATCGACGAGCATCTAACGTGGAAGCCGCATATTACTTATATATGTAAGAAAATTTCAAAATCTATTGGCGTCATGTTTAGGTCTCGTTTCTTTCTTTCTGAAACAACAAAAAGTCTCTTTATTATACCTTAATTTATCCTTATTTAACATATTGTACCACAGTTTGGTCCTCCACTTATGTAACAAACCTTAATAGAATTTTTCTTCTACAAAAGCGAGCAGTACGAATTATTACAAATGCAGATTTTCGCGCGCACTCTGAACCATTATTTTTCCGTTTAAAGATTTTGGACATATACAACATTAATTCATTCTATACTGCACAATTTATGTTTTCATATTATCATCAATTACTGCCACCGCTTTTTTCGAACCTTTTTGTTACTAGTAGCAATATTCATAATTATAATACTAGAAGTTCCTCGCATTTTCGTTCTCATGCCTGCCGAACTAACACCAAACAATTTTCTATTTTGTTCCAAGGCCCTAAAATTTGGAATTCTTTACCAAACTCAGTCACTTCGATTTTTACATTGCAATCGTTTAAAACGAAAGTTTTTGATTTTCTACTATATCGATAATGCGTCTTGTACTGTCCGTTGTTGTGTGTTGTTATAGTTCTATTGCTTAATATTATTGTAACGAGGGGGCCTCCTCGTACAAGCCTTGTGGTTTTCTGAGGTCCCCTCGCCACATCTTTGTATAATGTAATGCTTGTGTAATCTTTATTGTGGGAAAATAATAAATAAATAAATAAAATAAATATTTAGGGTTCGTTCCTTTTATGATCCAAGATCACTTGGATCATGGTGCATCTGAGGAACTGATAAATCCCATATTGAAGAAAGGATTTATCGCTAAATTCTATCCACCATCATCCAAGTGATTATAAGTCATGTGTATTCTGATTATTTTACAATTTTAGTGAGTGGCAAATGAACCAAACGAAGCGACTGGATAAACATATAATGCCACTCCATTAAAGGTTTCGCCAGAATGATCACAGCAATTTGTTGAAGCTAATGAGATAGAGTTGGTTTGCTGAGAACACGGCACTTTGATAGCAACCGTTAAACAGGACGCGCTATCAACTAACTATAATCCATCAAACCTCCATTTGTCCAATAATCCCTTAACCTTTAGGGTTGCAGAGTGTCTTCCCGTCACCTATATATCAATCTTGACAATGACAATTGCACGAGCTATCTGTATTTTGGCAAGACGCAAGGCTTTGAAGGCAGTCTGTGATTCTTGGATGCACTCAATATCAACATCTGAAAATGATAACGAAAATCCTATATTTCTAGTTACAACCTCGAGAACACTGACCATTTAAAAAATGTTGCCTAAATTTGTGCTAATCTGCCATAGCCGAGAGTCGATCGACAGGAGGACGCAAAGCAGGATTGAGATCAGAGACCGTTTCCTGCATACCCTAGTAGCTTCCAAAAATAAAAAAAACTGTCTCCTTTTGGAGTTGCAGTGTCCATGATCTGCGTGACAATTATGCTTTCCTGTTTAGCACTCGTTCATGACTGCAAATGAAACTTAAAAATCAACTGTAAACTCTCTACTGGTGCTGAGTTTAAAGTCGACGCTCAAGTCTATTTCCGTTTGATTTAGACACCTGGGCATTTTGATATTGTTACCGGAGTATGTCATTCCGTCAGGGGCACCCAACGACGATTTCCTCCTAAATACATTGAAAACACTTTGTAGGCTGTCCAGAGAACTATTAGATCACTAGAAATGCTCGCTATGTGGCGCTATAAAATTTGTATCTGTTCGGTCGTCCTGGGGGAACTCAGTAAGTGTTTTCGAAATTGCAAGGGCTTCAGTTTTATTATGCCTGAAAGTGAGAATTTTTCTTATTCCTCTCTCCACACATTTTTTAATCCGGAAATTTTAGGTTTCCATTTGCTACGAAAATAGCTTAACCTGGGGAGTGAAATATGAAAAAATAAACTTAAGAAAATCGTAAGACATTTTCTTTGGGAATCCGGAATCAGGAATACAGTTCAAGAAATCTGGAATCCAGTTAACAATAGAGTGCAGAATCCATTAAAAAAGTTCCCTTGAAAGAGAATCCGGAATCCGTGGCGTTGAGTCCTGAATCAGACTGTTTTGCGTGAGTTGCAGGCAGGGACTGAATACTTCCATTTGTTAGATTTCTTGGTACTTAAAAAAAAATCAAAAAAAAAAACAAGCATGTTAGCAGAATGTCTTAGATATTTTTTGATGTTTTTTGCAAGTAGGCCCCACCAACGGTTTCCAGAGAAACGACGAGTGGTGGACCGATGTATTTAGAGAAAAGGCAGGAAGAAGGGCGCAGATGGTAGCAAACGGCGGGATATATAAATCCAAAGAGGACAGACGGCAAATTGTGGTTGCTAGAAATATCTGTAAGTAGTAATTGTTCATCACTTATAAAGCATCGGATGAAAACGTTGTTGTAAGGGAGGGGGGGAGGGTTTGCGAAATTGTGCGTACCTCTAGAAAAATCCAGGCTACCCCCCTGATGACCATCCAAAAAATAATCAACGGCTATCGTCCAACCCCACATCAATCATGCAACAGGAGTAGCATCATATGAAACTTTTATTGTTTATTAGTGACAACGGAACTAGCGTAGGGCAGCAAGAAAGACACAGCTAACGGTTTTTTCAATAATTACTACACATTCCACACAACGTGGATCACCTCAACGTTTATTAACTGTACGGATACAAAATCATTACACTGACAAGAGAGAAGTGCTTGTAAAACAGACCTTGCTGCTTTTGAAAGCCTTCAATTGTGACGTCATCAAAGAAGCTGTGTCAACCGCTGGCAATAAGTGTTGATTTGACTTAATGTTTTAAAAAACAACGCGGAGAATCAATGTAAATCTTATCTCATATGACTATCACAACCGAGGTCAAAAGCACAAAACCATTACATGATCTATCTATACAACACCACTCTTGATATTTTTGGCTATTCTACCGAGGAATTCTTAAAATACTTCAGTCTATTCTCTAGCTAGATTCTTGAAAGACCAAAAAGTCCTCATGGTAGTTCCGCCAGTTTTTTTTTTTTTTTTTCAAAAAGTACAGTATCTCCAAATAAGTAGCCAATATAAAAACTAAGGCTGCAACCATTGTATTTTCAGTCCCTTCTCCGCCTTCCTTTCTCCACTTCCCTCTATTTTCGTAATTTCCGCTCCTTTTCCTTTCTTAGTGTGATCTTCTGAATAATCTGACGCAAGAATTAAGAAACTTGCGTTTTGGCTTTCTACAACCAAGAGGCTGCAATTCAGTTCGCTGGCTATGTTTTCAAAACTCAAGCTAGATTATACCTAATCCTAAGAATGCAATTTATTAGCATAAAGTAAAACATGCGATAAACTGAGTAAATAAGAGATTCATTACCAACACAATGACCCTCCTGTTTTCTCTTTCTGTTCTTATTAACCCTTTAGGTCCCAAGACTGACCAACATCAATTTTCTCCCAACAACATCAGCGGATCGTCAAGAGTAAAAGTTATGAGAATTACTAACTTGATTACCAAAAGTAAAACGCTTTGATCTTAAACCAAATTCTCTCAACTATTCCTAAAAGAAATGTATGGAGATCAGTCTGGAGAATTTGTTTGTGCATCGTGCGGCTTGAAGGGTTAAGTACAAGGAAATTGAGGGGAAAGTTAAATAGCGGGGTCGGAATGTATCCATTTACTTCAAACCGTATCGCCCCTCTTCAAGCAGTACCACCCTACTCCTAAACGGCAAAATCAATATCCTCACTTGCTAGAATCCAAACTAGGGCAAATGCTTCTGTCCTAGACTCGTATTCAGTCAGTATTCATGAGTTTTCGGTGAGACTGAGAGAAGAGTGTGTGATTAGTTCAGTACTAAGATCTCTCTCTAGAGGAAGCGATCTCAAGACAGAGTGGGTTCTGGCGCACGGGGTCAGTAAGAAAGCCTTCCTGTTTCCATTTTCGTAACTCCTCGCGTAACTCTTCTTTCCAGAAATCAAATTAATAATGAGTGACTGGTTTTTATGTCTTGATCAGCTTAAAGCAAACAGAAGAAGAGAAAACGTGTTGTCTGATCTTACGTAGAAAACTTCCGTTAAAACCACATGAAATGTGATGTAAAGAACACTATACCTCCTCCCTGTAAAGTGAACGCTATTAACGTTCCGTATAAATAACCTTAAGATATAGACTCTGAGTATGATCTTCATCCTTTAAGGAGAAGGTCAGGTATAGCGTCCCTAACTATTTAACCCTTGCTTTAACTCCTATTAATACACACAAACTTAATTACCTATACACACATTGAGCTTAAAATACATCGACATCTTCTTATCCTCCCTCGATGTACAATACTTGTAGAGGATAAGAGGTCTAGGTTGTCTTAACCCCGAAAAAGAGTGGGTGTGGGAAGGGGGAAGGGGTGGGGAGAGGAGGAGTGAAGCCCTATTTCAGTGAGCAAGACTCGGGGTTATGGGGTCCTGCAGTAAGTTTATAAGTGGACTGATAACATGAATGATTTATCCGCATTTTTCAACCCCAAAAGCCTATACCATTTTTTTTTTCAATGAAATTGATCATGATTAACTGTAAGAAGACGAACCAATAATCGATTACAACAAGAAGCACTGCTTATTTTTTACAACAACTACGCGCTTAGATGTTTCCATAGCCCAGTTCAACTTAAACTGCCAATGTCATGCTCTTTGCAATCTTTTTAAAGAGTTAAAACATGTAATTTCAAATATTCATGGTTCAGTTTCGTGGTTTAAGACTTTACTATCGGCAATGAAACTGTTTCCTTGTTCTCTGTTGCTAAGAATGGCAAGGATTGACATATGGATAAAAACTTGAAGAAATTGGGCCGACTTTTACAAGTGTAAAAAGTTTTAAATTTTTTTTAAATGATTTGTTTCATATCTTCTTCAGGCCCCAGTTGTTCAAAAGGTGGACAACGCTATCCACCAGTTAAATCTCTATTTTCTGGATAGCGCAATTGGTTTCCCTAACGCTCTTATCGACTTTTGTCACGCGGCGCCCATTTGTCCCCGCTCTTCCCTGCTACGTTCAAGCCCTTCCAGGACTTTCAGTTTGTTGAATATTCAAGAGGGTTGTACGTTAAAGAAAGGTTGTTGAATAACAAAAAGGTGTGAATCATGAATTAAGTAAAAATAACGCTGCAATCGTTCGGGTGACTAATTTTAAAAATGTTTGTGTGATGAGCAGTGCATGCTGGCTTTTACCTTGTAGTACGTATTGCTAAATCCCAAGCCTTTACCGGCCCTAAATAGTTCAGCTATATTGAAATCCTAAAACAAACTATAGGCAAACTATTCTAACAGCAGATTTCAGACAATTGAATATATACTGAGGGATTCTAAAAAAACTAAAAAGCAAACAAAAACAAAAACATCAATAATTTAAACAGCAATTAATAAGAAGTTTAAACTGAGTTATATTAAACTCCCCATTGCTTCTCTCTCAGATTTAATAGCAGTAAATATGATAGTTTGTGTTATCTTGTATTTAGCGGGATGTGTCAAGATAGAATACCTCCACCTCATTAGGTGAGAAGTACTCAATCCCGGCCAGGACTGTGTACCGGCCCTGCACTGCAGGTGGAGCAGAGTAGCGATAGCCCAAACTTGCTACTGACTTGTCGTTACTGTCGGCATTATTTCTAATGATGACATCACGGCCAAAACGTGGACCATAATATGACCACCTGTAAATTGCCTTTCCTGAGTATTCTTTCTTCACCTTGCTCACAAACGGTGCCAAGCCTTCATTATTGTTGAGCGAAAAAATAAACGCTTCGGAAGTAGCGCTATAGCCACCACTGGATTCTGAGAAACCAAAAGTACGTAAAATAAATAAAATAATAATAATAATAATAATATTAATAAAAACAAGAAGAAGATCAAGAAGACAAGAAAATTGTCATATATGCTTTCGCGTTTGCTTCAATAAAAAAAATGAATTTCAAGTTTGAATTAATTTTATTACTGACCATATTAGCCCATTTTCACGATTAAAAATGACGTCATTTTTCTACAGCCACCAGAGTTCACTTTGCTTTGGCCTTCTTATTTAAACTAATATCTATTAATACAATTGAGGTAAAGGTAACTGACAATAGCCCTAGTAAATGATCAGGCAATCAACAACCTGAAGGATTCAAGTTCTTTTAGCAAGCGTTTCACTTTTAACGCAATTATTTCTTAGTGGTGAGATAAATTGTGAGGTTACCAAACTTAATAACTGGAGATTTCTCAGAATAGTAATAAACTGGTTCTGCTCTACGTGTAAATAGGAATCATTGGATCGGTACTAGACATACGTTTTATTACGGACAATCTTGTTGGCCCACCACTCTAATAGAGAATGTCTAGGACAAGGACACTTGACCAGGCTTTACTGACTGCCCGTATAAAAAATATATGGTTTTGCTGTGCATATTCTCTTAGGTGGGACACATCCTTAACACACACTGTAACGGGTCGGCAGCTGCCGTAACAAAAATTTGATGCATTCACCGGCATCACTACATTTAGCTTCTTTGCGTTTGAAATGCTCAGGCAAGTTAAGGCATGGATTGAAAGGCTAAAATGACTCGCTACAGAGAATTTAAAGATCCTCTTTTATGACACAGAAGGATCCAAGTAAAGGTTCCACAAAGATATGATAAGACATATCTCACTGAAATAGTTTTGGAAAATTCATCCCAAGCATCACGTGACATTCTTTAGACCATGACGTCACAAAATTAGTTTTCTCAAACGGAGCAAGGTTGTTAAGCTTCAGCCTAAAAATACTTGTCATTAAATTGTCAGCGAAACTGTCTGGGTTGTCAATTAGCCTTGCAAGGTGGATTAAAGCATTTTTTATTAAGAGTTATTAAAGTATTTTATACGTCACGTGACCTTTTTTCCTTATTTCGTAATCCTTGCTCCACTTAGGCATACATGCAGGGCTATTTCATAATATCCAGGCCATGGGAAAAACACTGGTGCCTAAGAATATTTGCTGCTCTTTCATTTCCTTTCCCCCCGTTTTAATTTGAAAACTTTGAACGTTAACGATCATTTGCAGGTCACGTGACTAATATTTCAACAATGAATATGTCAAATATTGTTAAAGACACCGAGCTAAAACTGCTTGCCAAGTTTCATGACGACTGATCAAAACAATCCGTTTCAAATGAAACTTTGCCAAATTATGCAAATTAGAAGGTGACCCATGCCTGAACATGCTTGAGTGGCACGATCCGCAAGTCTGTGCAATCCAATGTTTGTCAGATCCCGTTCACAGACTTGTCCCAACTCACGCGCTAAGGAAGGAAGAAACTTCACTTCTCTTGAAGGAAACCTTATTGTCATCACGGATGGATCCAAGCCTTAACAAAAGTTGGTGGGGATGGGTGGAGTTCATCGAGACCTTGAGTGAAGCGTGGCTCGCTCAAGAATAACAATTTGTTTTTTGGGTTTCGGTTTGGATTAAAAATAAGGGCGACCAGACCTATCGAGGGTAAGACCCACACTGGCAAAGGTAACTAAGGTTCATTACAAAAAAACACTTGACCATCATTACAAGGTGACAAACCAAGAGTGATGTTTCAACCTTATAAAAAAGAGTTAAACTCTAATAAGCAGTGCAAGTAGATCAGAATTGTAAAGCTGTTACATTGCAGTAAAAAAAGACGATAAAATAAGGGAATTAGTTTTTTTTACCCCAAGGAATATCCGTGTATCCGCCAAAGATGAATTTGCCTTTTCTTATGATGGTAACAGTGTGGTACTTTCCATCGCAGCGACTGTGAAACTGACTGACATCCCAGCCATGCAATGTAGCACGCCAGCACAACAACCAGTGAGAATTGTCCCCAACCGCATTCTCCAGAAAATTGCCCAAATGACGAAAATAGTAATCACTGCTGTTCAAAATCGACGAGTTCATAAATTCTGAAAATAGTATTGAAGAATAATTTAAATTACTTAAAAATTAACTTGGCAATTAGCATGACATAATGAATTTGAAGTGTGGCGCAAACGACAATTTTCGGTTTATCATATTTTTTTAATGATTCTTTATTCCCTTATGCCTCCCTCCCCCCATCCCCAGATATCATATGCTGTTCATTCACATAAAGTATCCAATCTCGTCTCCCCCAACCTCTATAAGGAATGAGGCCTGATACTCAGGCTAGAGCCAACCTACAATAGTTTCCGCAACCGGCCAATAAACACCTAGAAAAGCTGTGACGAAAACTGCGTATCGGGCTGATGATTGTTCGTCGAATATGCAAATATTCTTAAAAAGTAAAGTATGGACCTCGAGAATCACCCCATTCTTTTCATCGGCTTCGCCGGTTCGAGCAATAATAAACCCAAACTAGCACAAGTTTGCCTGCTAACAGGCTAACAACGAGCCCTTTCATGTTAGAACTGTTTTCAGGGGCACCCAACGAGAATATAGTTCAAAACCACTTAAACATAGCGTTATTTTAGTATTTAAACGGTAGATATAGGCATATTTTTATCCCTAAAAGTTTTTCATCTGTTCGGATTTCCTAGCTGAAAGTCTAGTGATCCGAGAATTGTAGGGATCAAAACTTACCTTTTCGAAAATTTCAGCCAGGACAAAGGCTCCCGAAAATTCTACGTGACCTTTTAAGGGTAAAAATCCGTTAAAAATGGGCAACTGTAGTAGTTTATAGATGTTCGAAAATCTTAGGAGAGGCAGGCAAGCAAAAAATAATACAACAAATGTTCCGAAAATTCTAGATCTCAAATCGTCTTCCGAACAGATATTTTTCCGAAAATTGTCGTTGGGAGCCCCTGTGTTTTCAAGGGACAGGTTCACGGTTAAGCGATGCTCATTAATTAAATTACTTCTTTACAATTTATTATCAGTTCTATCGGTTAATAATCCCACTCACATGTATCTCAGCGATCTCAGAGTGTATTTCAAAGCAGAATTGTATTCAGAGTAACCTTAAGTAGGATGGAGGAGTACTAAAATCGCTGAAAAAAAATAGTGGATTATACCAACACTACCAACGTTGAATTTATTGTTGTTATTCCATACTTGATTAATTTACAGCTATTTGCAAATATGTAAGTTTATCAAGTGCAAGTGACTGTCAGGGGAGTGTGCAGATTGGTTCTTTCACAACTTTATGACATGATCATATTGCCTGCATAGACGATACAGCATGTCCCGGCAGAAAAACACCATTTTGATAAATGAGCATGCGCTGAACCGTGAACCTGTCCCTGAATCTATTAGTTTTGTTCTATCCTCACCAATAATTTACTGATTGCGTAGTAAACTTGAAAATACTGTGAAAGATTTGAAAAGCCCGACTCACGCTTTCCACAAAACGTGTTTTCGCCTTCGTAAAGTATAAGAAAGAATTTGAAGTCCTTTGTCTTTGAGGATAGCTTAAAATATCAGCTGTTTTCTGTGGCTAAAACTAAGTAATATTCGCGACACAGTAGAGCCTCTCCTCTCTGACTGTTTATATGCGCATCCACTATCTAACAGACATTGATCTGGAAGAAGTCGTTGATCCGTTTGCTAAGAAGCATCCAAGGAGGCTTGAACTTGTTCCACTAATGAAAAATCAAACCTAGTGAATAATACTGATGCAAAAAACTTTCTTTCTAATTTGTAATTTTCAATAGTGACATTAAATTGACATTGTCCTTGACGTAAAGTCGTAAAGTAAAGTAGTTAGTCTCTTCCCCCCCCCAAAAGAACCACTTTTAAAGTTATAAAATTTGACAAAATATCCATTTTTATCAAAGCGCTCGAAATGCAGTCTCAGACAACCCTTTTTCGCCCTAGAGACTTGGCTCCTCCAGCCACGTTTTGTCCGTCTTTTCCTTGGATCGAGCCCCCTTCCCCTTCCCGTACAGTAATAAAACCTGGCTACGGGCCTGAAGATTTAACAAACACTTTAGCGTCTACTAAAAAAAAAAAGGATGAATAAAAATGTTGTTATACAAGGTTAAGGTTTTTGCTATCAAGTTTTTGTTACAATATTACCTGTGCAATTAAAGCCATTTCCAAAATATCCTGGTTTGCATGTACAATTGTAAGAGCCTTTAGTGCTGTTACAGAAAGCATGCGAGTCGCAGTGATGCTTTCCTGTCTCACACTCGTTGATGTCTGCAAAATAGTAAAAAGAATGCATTGATTTATTTAGAAGAATATAATTTTTACTGAATGATTCCTTCAGTCTTCTAGATCTGTTCCGTGATCTTTCGTAGAAAATCCTTTTGATGATTACCGTTTTCTTTGATTGCTTGCCACAATAAGGCAAGTGGCTACTTCATGGGAAAATTGATGGTTTGTTAGTTATTTGCTACCCTACGTACTTACAAAAGGGACATGTGTTTCTTCTGTATTCTCGCTCCTTTATCAAACCCTAGATCATGAACGTAAATATCCATACGTAGTCTGAAATGTCATTCGTCTCCACCCCCTAACCCGTGAAGGGCATGGGGGAGAGAGATGTGCCCCCACGGGTCAGGGGGTGGAGATGTGTGACATTTCAGACTAGTCCATAACTAGTCCACAATGCAGGCTTATTAGGCGCATACAAAACATTAATGGTATCGTCTTATTTTCACACTCCCTTTTTTTCATTTTCAGACTTTAAACCCATCAGGCCCATACAACAGTAGTGTTTTGTATAGCTCCACCCTTAAGTAGGTTTTCGTTGATCACACTTGTTTTGGCCACTTTCTAGAGGCCCTGTTAGGATAATTTCGACAAGCGAATCATGGCCTTGAAACAGCGACATAGGGCAGCAGAAATGGCGACAAACGACACAAAGATGGGTTGAAACTGCGACAGCGACAGAGAATAAAAGCACAAATACAATAGTAAAATACCGACAGCGACATGGCTTCCTCCTCAATACGAGAAACGACAGGTTTTGAAATTCAGACTCTGGACATACGTAACACCCCTTAGAGGGCCTATTTCTTATGATAATTAAACTTGTAGGTAACACAATAATATATGGGAATGTTATGGGTACTCAAAGAAAATATTTTAAAGGGAGATAGAAGATAGTAGAAGTTGTATTATTTGTATACAGTAAATGACGTGAAACTCTGCATTTGGAGCCCAGAGATTATATATAGTCCAGAGAAGCAAACAGAATTGAGGTTTCTGTAGTATTCATATATAGTTTTTGCTAAATGCTAAAATTTTTTGATGGTTTTCGAGAATAACGGCCGAGCAAAAGAAAAACAAGCAAGGTGACCCCATCTTTTTATTGAATTTTTTAATGTCCTACACATGGCTATCAATTGTGCTAAGTCTGCCCATTGCCACTTTGTTTTCTTTACGACTAACTATTAAACAATTTACACATCTATTTAGAATCTGTTTCCTGGGATGATCGACCAGTTTTTTGCCAAAAAGCCTTAAGCAAAATGATTATCTAAAACATGCATGCAAATTCTCTGTTTAAAAACGTCCGTGAAATGTAATTGTTGGGATTATCCAGGTGTTAGGTATCACTTACGTTAATTTGAGCGTCACAAACAATTTGGCCAGACTCTAAATGTCTTTTCCACATTCGAGGCTTACGGTAAACGCCAAAGTCTCGTACGTTACATTCTTTTGTTATATTACAAGGGATGTAAATTAATTCCAGAGGACTACACTATATCAACTATACATTGCAGAGAAAACCTGGCAGCAGAAAATATAAATCTTTCCTTGCTACTAAAAAAATTTGCCACGTATAAAGTATAGAAAGTTGTGTGATTTCGTTTACAGCCGGTTTACGTCTTTCACTCTTCTCCTATATTGTCTATCGAAAAACAAAAACAGTTTATACCTACCTATTTCGCATTTTTCTCCTCTCCATTGTGGACTGCATGAACAAGCAGACGTGTCTTTCCCTTCGTCGAAGAAACAAGAACCTCCGTTAAGGCATCCAGCCATTAGGCAGCCCTGAGGAAAATGTTCATATGTTACTTCGGTAAGCTAAAATGATATACATCGTTTTCCATCGACATCCTACAGCTTTTTATGTTTTAGACACTCTTTCTCGGGCAGGGGGCGGCGACGTACTAACTCCATACAGGTCATTTGCAGGTAGCGAGACAAATCCCTCAACATTTTTAACAGCACAACGCAAATCTAATGTTGAACATAAAATTTCCTCTTACAAATTGCCGGCTCTGCTTTTCTCTTTTTGTAACATTTATAGTTGTTTGCACTGTACACTTTTCTTAACTTTATTTTCAAAACAAGTAAGCCTCCTGTTAGGGAAGAAAACATTGACCTCGATATTGATTTTCTTGTCGGAACTGAAAAATTTGGGAAAGGGAAAACATGGCTCGCTCCCAATAAGAAACATAATACTGAAATCCCTGCGCTTTTTGACAACAACTCAACTTTACTTTACATCTTGTTGTTGCCTTAGCCTGGGTGCAGGAGTCTAGTCTTCTTGCACAGAGAAATTAGGGACGTATGCGCACGCACGCTCTTGTTGTCTAAGCAATGAAAATTCGGTACTTTTCTTACCTTAAGAAACATTGAAAACGTCGTTCCTGGATTATCAGTGAGTTTGGTGTCATCATCAGCTGTAGAGAACTCATGCTTGTTCAGTTCACAGTTACCCGAGGACTCTTTGAAGTTAGAAGAGGTACACCAAGAATGCCTTAAACATGCTTTACTGCATGATATTTCATCCGTAGAATCGATTTTCTTGACAACATAGCCAAGTAAACGCTTGTCCTCTCGCGTTTTGATGTAGGCAGATCTAAAGTCTTCCTCGGCTGCTAGAACTGCGCCAACGATGAAGCAGAAAATGAGTGAGGAAATCATGTTATCTATCTGCAATATTACAGCGTTGTTTTCGTGAACAGGGTGTGTCTGTGTAAAGGACGTTCTCGGGTAAAATTTGTAGGGTTTATAAATATATATAATTTTGTATATAGCAAATTAATGGATACTTTGAGCTCGATTGACGCGTGTCCTTTCAGTGATTGACTTGTCCTGTCAAAGTAAAGGACACTGCGGGAAAAATTAAAAAGCTTGTTGCCGTTTTAGCGAACAATTCTGAAAATGCTAACCTCAGGACTGAGGACATCAGGATGCACAAAATTTATTTCTTGGAAATATTTCGCTGCTGAAAAGAGTTACAGCTTTATTCTACCGCTACACTGCAACGTTTGGAATGATTTTGTAAAATCGAATCTAGTTTGGCAAAAAGGTTCAGCTCTAAATATTGCAAAATTAATGTTAATTACACAACGTTAATCACTACAAATACCCATTAAGTTACCAACCAGCTAATATCAAAGAGATATTGAAATGCTACTATACTATGTAAATTAGGTTTGCTGAATATTCAGTCCTTATTTACTGTATCGTTAGCATTAAATGACTAAATAAAAAATTGTAAATTGTTGGTATAGAAATTTATCTTCAACAGCAAAAAAATTGATTAACTGACTTTTAGACTGCAACGTAAAAGTAGTTAAGCACCTAAATTAGCAAGCGGCTCCTGAATGTCGCTTATATTTTAAACAAACAGGTAGTCCAATAAAGAAACTGATGCCTTATATTGCGACAGCAATCAGCATAAGTAAGACGGCAAGAAAGTGAAATGTTCTAAAATTCCGTATTTAAATTCAGGATGAGAAGTATTCGCTTGGCTGCGAATCGAATACTACTGCTTCGTTTAAGGATAACTTTTCACAGAAGTGGTTTCATACAATTACAAAAAAATAGGGAGAAAAAGATGGGCAATTACTAAAAAAGCAAGAGTTTTTAAAATAAACATCATAATGAACATCTTTTAGTGTTATTTACTCAAAAAAAATGGGAACAGTTCCCATAAGATCACGTGTCTAATGACACTGGCCTGTTACAAACGTTATGCTAGCTACTGCCGTGCCGAACTCAATTGATCGAATTAAATTCGACTTTACAGCACAGCAGTAGCACGACGTTTGAAACCAAGTCGTGCCACTGCCGCGCCCCGTATAGTATACTCCACGGCAGTAACAATTCATAAACTATAAATAGACCGCTTTATATATATTTATATATATATATTTTTTCTGCAACAGCTATTTTATTTAATTCGGCGTCTGAAACCTAGCGGTGCTATACAGTCGTGTTAGAGTCGTGCTGACGTCGAGCCAGCTTAGTAAGAACGGCCCTAACACGTCCGGTTTGGAACAGTTATCAATTGCTTGAAATAACACATTCACTTGCCATGTAGTCAGGAAAATTCTTGTGGCTTTATCTCTTCAGTGAAAAGTCTAAACGGTTTCTCAGTTTAATCTGGCGGCCCTGAAAAGTTTAAGGCCCCGTTCGCACTGCGCAAAATTTTGTTTGTTTTGCAAAAAAATCTTTCAACGAGAAGCCATTTCTAGTGTAAATGATTCGTTTTTTACCTAGCAAAATTTTCTCAAGAGTCACCAAACTTCAAAGACGCCGTCGAGAAGATTTGTAGGCCTTCAAATTTTGTCAGACGACAAAATCCAATTCCTTGAGAACTATCCTTCGTCGGGTCATCTTATTTCGCGGACATAACCAATTAAAGTTCCTTTAATTGATGTTTCTGGTTACACAAAAAAATTGCCGTGTTTGGTGATGACAAATTTTTCAATTTTTTTGTAGATGCCAAACTCTTTATTTTTTTTCTTCGCAGTGCGATCGAACAGGGCCCAAGTCAAAAATTTATTGCTCGTTAAAAATGCAAAAATAAAACTTTCAATCTGATACCAGTGTAAGCAAATAGCGGACAATTTCATTTTTTAAGAATCTATAGGGCTAATTTTAACTGGTTGTCAGACCTAGAGAAAACCAAGTGGTTGCTTGTAATAATCCTTTCTTCGCTCAGCTGAAAATACTCTTCAGAGAGAAAAAATTTTGTGCCTCCAAACTGGCAGCTGATTTTAAAAAAAATGCTTTCCGAAGATTTATCTAATCCGTCATAAGTAAGTTGACTGTGAGCTTATTTTTGCAACCAAATGCACTTTTTCAAGTTTGAATAAGACCTTCTGGACAAACTTTCAACGGAGACGATGCGTAGGTGTCCTGTGTTATGTGCTTGGAATTGCTCCAGCAACCAAAAAACAATCAACGTCGGCGATCCCGAACGGCTTGTAAAATATTTCGTGACAAAGGAGACACTTTTACAGTAATGGCAATCGATCAGAAAGCCCGATCAGAGATGAGATGGTGCAGTAGCAATTAGCGCGTCGCCATCTTAATATCCAGTCCTGCGTAGCAAGCGTTTCCAATCTACTTATTGCGCGAAAGTTGTAGCGGTACCAAAAAAGATGGATGGGGGAGGGGGAGGGGAGTACGTAGTTAGAACGTTCCCTACCCCTTCATTCCTCTTTTTTGCACTTGTCGGAACTTTCTCGACGAACTTACGCGGAAACGCTTGCTACGCGGGCTACTGCTTTCAGTGAGTAACGACCTTCTGGCCCCGCCGTTGTTCAAATGTTGGATAGCGCTTTTCATCACACTGTAATTTACTACAGTTGAACCCCTCTACAACGGCCACCTTAGGGACAGAAGAAAGTTGCCATTGAAGAGAGGTGGCCGTTGTAGAGAATTTGAAACAAGAGTGAATGTATGGACTGTCCGCCAAGCATGTCAGCAGAATATCTTGAGATATTTTTTGATGTTTCTAGAGTCTTCTTGAGCGTTACTAATGCGCCCTCGAAAGCTCCGCATTTACGTCAAGGCTTGCTTAGGAATTCAGTTTAAAGATTTTCATCATCTGCTCTTAAGTTTCTACACTCCAGGCAGACATATGGCTAATCGCTCTTTTTGGCTTGTCTTTAACTCATGAACCTGCTTAATAGGATGCTTCGCAGATCCACCAGTCCCAAGTTGTTCAAAAGATGGAGAACGCTATCTACCGGATAATCTCTATTTAAAAGTGGATAGCGAAGTTGGTTTTCCTAATACTTACATGTATCCGCTAGATAGTGACTTATCCGGCGGATAGAGCTATCCATGTTTTGAACAATCTTTGGACAGAAGGCTTAATTTCGAGTTCTTTGTTTTGTTTTGTTTTGTTTTTTTTTTCCCAACGTCTGCAAGTAGGCCCCACCACCGGTTTCCAGAGAAAAGGACGAGTGGTGGACCGATGTATTTAGAGAAAAGGCAGGGAGAAGAGCGCAGATGGCAGCAAGCTGCAGAATATATAAATTCAAAGAGGACAGACGGCAAATTGTGGTTTCTAGAAATATATGTAAGTAGTTATTGTTTAACACTTATAAAGCATCAGGTGAAAACGTTGTTGTAAGGAGGGGGGGGGGGGGAGGTTTGCGAAATTGTGCGTACCTCTAGAAAAATCCCGGCTACGCCCCTGATGGCCATCAAAAAAATAATGAACGGCTATCGTCCAACCCCACATCAATCATGCAACAAAGCTAACATTGCACGGAACTTTTATTGTTTATTAGTGACAACGGAACTAGGCTAGCGCAGCAAGAAAGACAGAGAGTGCAAGGAGATGATTTTACTCACGGTGTTTTCAATAATTACTACACATGCCACACAACGTGGATCACCTCAACGTTTATTAACTGCACGGATACAAAATCATTACACTGACAAGAGAGAAGTGCTTGTAAAACAGACCTTGCTGCTTTTGAAAGCCTTCAATTGTGGCGTCATCAAAGACGGTGAGTCAACCGCTGCCAATAAATGTTGATGTGACTTAATGCTTTAAAAACAACGCGGAGAATCAATGTAAATCTTATCTCATATGACTATGACAACCGAGGTCAAAAGCACAAGCCCATTACATGATCTATCTATACAACACCACTCTTGATATTTTTGGCTATTCTAACGAGGAATTCTTAAAATACTTCAGTCTATTCTTTAGCTAGATTTTTGAAAGACTAAAATGTTCTCATGGTAGTTCCGCCAGTTTTTTTTTTTTTTCCAAAAGTACAGTATCTTCAAAAAAGTAGCCAATATAAAGGCTGCAACCATTGTCTTTCCAGTCCCTTCTCCGCCTTCCTTTCTCCCACTTCCCTCTATTTTCTCAATTCCCCCTCTTTTCCCTTTCTTAGTGTGATCTTTTGGATAATAAGACGCAAGAATTAAGAAACTTGCGTTTTGGCTTTCTACAATCAAGAGGCTGCAATTCATTCCGCTGGCTATGTTTTCAAAAATCCAGCTGGATTATACCTAATCCTAAGAATGCAATTTATTAGAGTATAAAGCATAAAGTACGACATGCGATAAACTGAGTAAATAAGAGATTCATTACCAACACTATGACCCTCCTGTTTTCTCTTTCTGTTCTTATTGACCCTTTAGGTCACAAGAGTGACCAACATCAATTTTCTCCCAACAACATCCGCAGATCATCAAGAGTAAAGGTTATGAGAATTACTAAATTGATACCAAAGGTAAAACGCTTTGATCTTAAACCAAATTCTCTCAACTATTCTTAAAAGAAGTGTATGAAGATCAGTCTGGAGAATTTGTATGTGGATCTTGCGGCTTGAGGGGTTAAGCATAAGGAAATTGAGGCTAAAGGTAAATAGTGGGGTCGGGATGTAGTGATTTACTTCAAGCCGTACTGCCCCTCTTCAAGCAGTACCACCCTACTCCTAAACAGCAAAATCAATATCCTCACTTGCTAGAATCCAAGCTAGGGCAAATGCATCTGTCCTAGACTCGTCTTCAGACACTATTCATGTGTTTTCGGTGAGGCTGAGAGTAGAGTGTGTGATTAGTCTAGTACTCAGATCTCTCTCTAGGGGAAGCGATATCAAGACAGAGTGGGTTCTGGCGCACGGGGTCAGTAAGAAAGCTTTCCTGCCTCCCTTTTCTCAACTCCTGGCGTAACTCTTCTTTCCAGAAATCAAATTAATAATGACTGACTGGTTTTTATCTCTCGCCATCTGGTGTTATGAAATGTCTTGATCAGCTTAACGGGCGAACAGAAGAAGAGAAAACGTGTTGCCTAATCTTACGTACAAAACTTCCGTTTAAAAATTACATGAAATGTTATGTAAAGAACACTATACCTCCTCCTATTAACGTTCCGTATAAATAACCTTAAGATAGAGGCTCTGAGTTTGATCTTCATCCTTTAAGGAGAAGGTCAGGTATAGCGTCCCTACTAGTAATTATTTAACCCTTTTTTTTAACTCCTATTAATACACACAAACTTAATTACCTATAGACACATTAAGCTTAAAATACATCGACATCTTTTTATCCCCCCTCGATGTACAATACTTGTAGAGGATAAGAGGTCTAGATTGTCTTAACCCCGAAAAAGAGTGAGTGTGGGAAGGGCGTAGGGGGTGGGGAGAGGAGGAGTGAAGCCTTATTTCAGTGAGCAGGACTCGGGGTTATGGGGTCCTGCACTAAGTCTATAAGTCGACTGACAACATGAATGATTTATCCGCATTTTTCAACCCCAAAAGCCTATACCATTATTTTTCAACGAAATTGATCATGATTAACTGTAAGAAGACGAACCAATAATCGATTACAACAAGAAGCACTGCTTATTTTTTACAAAAACTACGCGCTTGGTTCTTTTCATAGCCCAGTTTAATTTAAAGGGACAATGTCATGCTCTTTGTAATCTTTTTAAAGAGTTAAAACATGTAATTTCAAATAGTCATGGTTCAGTTTCGTGGTTTAAGACTTTACTATCGGCCATGAAACTGTTTCCCTGTTGTCTGTTGCTAAGAATGGCAAGGATGAACATATGGGTAAAAACTTGAAGAAACTGGGCCGACTTTTTCAAGTTTTCATAAGTTTTAAATTTTTTTAAAATGAAATTTGTTTTATACCTTCCTCAGGCCGCAGTTGTTCAAAAGGTGGACAACGCTATCCACCAGATAAATCACTATTCACTGGATAGCACAACTGGTTTCCCTAACAATCTTATCGACCTTTGTCACGCGGCGGCCATTTGTCCCCGCCCTTCCCTGCTACGTTGCAGCCCTCCCAGGACTTTCAGTTTGTTGAATATTTAAGAGGGTTGTACGTTAAAGAAACGTTGTTGAATAACAAAATAAAAGGTGTGAATCATGAAATAAGTAAAAATAACGCTGCAATCGTTTGGATAACTAATTTTAAAAATGTTTGTGTGAAGAGCAGTGCATGCTGCCTTTTTAAATGGCTGGCGAAAGTTGCTTTAGCAAGAGTTTTTAATTACGCTGTAGCACGTATTGCTAAATCCCAAGCCTTTACCGGCCCTAAATAGTCCAGCTATATTGAAACCCTAAAACAAACTAGGCAAACTGTTCTAACAGCAGATTTCAAACAATTGAATATTTAGGGATTCTAAAAAAAAACTAAAAAGCAAAAAAAAAAAAAAACATTCAATAATTTAAACACCAATTAATAAGAAGTTTAAACTGAATCATATTAAACTCCCCATTGCTTCGCTCTCAGATTTAATAGTAATAAATATGATAGTTTGTGTTATCTTGTATTTAGCGGGATGGATCAAGATAAAATACCTCCACCTCATCAGGAAAGAAGCGCTCAGTCCCGGCCAGGACTGTGTACTTGTCCTGCACTGCAGGTGGAGCAGAGTAGTCAATGCCCAAACGTCCTCTTGAGTTGCTGTCACTGTCGGCATTATCAACAATGTAGACATAATTGCCAAACATTGGACCAAAATGTGAAACCCTGTAAATTGCGCTTCCTGAGTATTCTTTCTTCACCTTGCTCACAAACGGTTCCAACCCTTCATTATTGTTGAGCGAAAAAATAAACGCTTCGAAAGTAGTGCTCCAGCCACCACTGGATTCTGAGAAACCAAAAGTACGTAAAATAAATAAAATAATAATAATTTAAAAAAAAGAAAATTGTCATATATACTTTCACGTTTGCTTCGATAAAAAAAAAATGAATTTCAAGTTTGAATTCATTTTATTACTGACCATATTAGCCCATTTTCACGATTAAAAATGACGTCATTTTTCTACAGCCACCAGAGTTCACTTTTCTTTTGCCTTCTCTTTTAAACGAATATCTATCAATACAATTGAGGTAAAGGTAACTGGCAATAGCCCTATTGAATGATCAGGGAATCAACCGAAGGATTCAAGTTCTTTTAGCAAGCGTTTCACTTTTAACACATTTATTTCTTAGTGGTGAGATAACTTATGAGGTTACCAAACTTAATAACTGGAGATTTCTCAGAATAGTAATAAACTGATTCTGCTCGACGTGTAAATTAGAACCATTGGATCGATGCTAGACATTCGGACATGCGGACTCCGTTTAATTACGGACAATCTTGTTGGCCCACCCGACTCTAATACAGAATGCCTAGGACAAGGACACCTGGCCAGGCTTTACTGACTGTCCGTATAAAAAATATATGGTTTTGCTATGCATATTCTCTTAGGCGGGACACATCCTTGACACACACTGTAACGGGTCGGTAGCTGCCGTAACAAAAATTTGATGCATTCACCGGTATCACTACATTTAGCTTCTTTGCGTTTGAAATGACACGATCTGCAAGTATGTGCAATCCATTGTTTGTCAGATTCCATTCACAGAACTGTCACAACTCACGTGCTAACGAAGGAAGAAACTTCACTTCCCTTGAAGGAAACCTTACTGTCATCACAGATGGATCGCAGCCTTGACGAAAGTTGCTGGGGATGGGTAGAATTCACCGAGACCTTGAGTTAAGCATGGCTCGCTCAAGAAAAAAAATTCGTTTTCTTGTCTTCAGTTTGAATTAAAAATAAGGGCGACCAGACCTATTGACGTTAAGACCCACGCTGGCAAAGCTAAGGTAACTAGGTTCATTACACAAAAACACTTCACCATCATTACAAGGTGACAAACCAAGAGTGACGTTTCAACCTTATAAAAAAAAATTAAATCCTAATAAGCAGTGCAAGTAGATCAGAATTGTAAAGCTGTTACATTGGAGTAAAAAAAGAGGATAAAATAAGGAAATTAGTTTTTTTTACCCCAAGGAATTTCCGTGTATCCGCCAAAGATGAATTTGCCTTTCCTTATGATGGTAACAGTGTCGTTCTTTCCATCGCAGCGACTGTGAAACTGACGGACATTCCAGCCATGCAATGTAGCACGCCAGCACAGCAACCAGTGAGAATTGTACCCAACCGCATTCTCCAGAAAATTGCCCAAATGACGAAAATAGTAATCACTGCCGTTCAAAATCGACGAGTTCATAAATTCTGAAAATACTATTGAAGAATAATTTAAATTACTGAACATTAACGTGGCAGTTAGCATGACATAATGACTTCAAGTGTGGCGGAACCGACAATTTTAGGTTTCTCATATTTTTTTTTTATGATTCTTTATTCCCTTTTGCCTCCCTCTCCCCTCCCCAGATATCATGTCCTTGTTCATTCGCGTAAAGCATCAAATCTCCTCTCCCCCAACCCCTAAGGAATAAGGCCTGATACTCAGGCTACAGCCAACCTATAATAGTTTCCGTAACCGGCTAATAAACACCCAGAAAAGATGTGACTGCGCATCGGACTGATGATTGTTTGCCTAATATGCAAATGTTCTTAAAACGTTAAGTATGGCCTGGAGAATCACCCCATTCCTCTCATCGGCTTCGCCAGTTCGAGCCATAATAAACCCAAAGTCGCACAAGTTTGCCTGCTAACAGGCTAACAACAAGCCCTTTCATGTGAGAACTGTTTTAAAGGACCCTATATCAGGCCCGTAGGGAGGGGGTGCGACGGGTGCCCCCCCCCCCCACAGGCTCTAGAGGTCCACTTTATTTTTAACCAGCCGATTTAAAACAAAGTAAGTCTACAGTATTGTTCCGGTATTGTTCTTTCATCACCACTAATTTACTGACTGTGTTATAAACTTGAAAATACTGTGAAAGAGTTGAAAAGACTGACTGACGCTTTCCATCAAACGTGTTTTCGCCTTCGTAAAGTATAAGAAAGAATTTGAAGTCCTTTGTCTTTGAGGATAGCTTAAAATATCAGCTGTTTTCTGTGGCTAAAACTAAGTAATATTCGCGGCACAGTAGAGGCTCTCCTCTCTGGCTGTTTATATGCACATCCACTGTGTAATAGACATTGATCTGGAAGAAGTCGTTGGTCTGTTTGCTAAGAAGCATCCAAGTAGGCTTGAACTTGTTGCACCATTGAAAAATCAAACCTAGTGAATAATACTGATGCAAGAATTTCTTTCTAATTTGTAATTTTCAATAGTGACATTGACATTGTCCTTGTAAAATCGTAAAATAAAGTAGTGAGTCTCTTTGCTAAAAAAAAATTTAACAAAATATCCATCTTTATCAAAACGCTCGAAAAGCAGTCTCAGACAACCCTTTTTTGCCCTAGAGACTTGCGCCTCCAGCCACGTTTTGTCCGTCTTCTCCTTGGATCGCAACCCCTTTACCTTCCCGTACAGTAACAAAACCTGGCTACGGGCCTGAAGATTTAACAAACACTTTAGCGTCTGCTAAAAAAAATGGATGAATAAAAATGTTTTTATATAAGGTTAAGGTTTGTGCTATCAGGGTTTTTTTTACAATATTACCTGTGCAATTAAAGCCATTTCCAAAATATCCTGGTTTGCATGTACAATTGTAAGAGCCTTTAGTGTTGTTACAGAAAGCATGCGAGTCGCACTGATGCTTTCCTTTGTCACACTCGTGTATGTCTGCAAAACAGTAAATTAAAATGCATTTAGGAGAATCTAATTTTTACTGAATGATTCCTTCAATCGTCTGTTGAAATCTTTCGTAGAAAATCATTTTGATGATTACCGTTTTCTTTGATTGCGTGCCACAATAAGTTAAGTGGCTAAGCCAGACGACACACCACTTCATGGAAAAACTAAGGGTTTGTACGTTCTATTCTTCCTTACCTACCCATAAAAGGGAAATGTGTTTTCTCTGTATACCTCCTTTAATAATTCCCGGATGAACGTAAATGTCCATAGGTAGTCTGAAATGTCTTTCATCTCCACCCTATAACCGGTGAAGGGCCCGGGGGAGAGAGACGCGCCTCCCACGGATTAAGGGGTGGAGCCTAGTCGTGTGACATTTCAGACTAGGCCATACGCAGTTTTCCTGGTAATGCAGGCTTATTAGGCGCATACAAAAAATAAAATAAAATAAAATAAACGATGTCGTCTTCACAACCACATTCAGACATCGACTACACAGCTGCAGATTAGTACCATTGCGGACCGCATGGTTGTTGGAAAAGCCACCAACCATAAATGAGGCTCGTAATGCCAGATAATGCTAATGACTAGCAACTACGGGGGAATAATTAGCCCACCCACATTATTACTCGACACAATTGCCTAATGAAGACCAGAAGTACTCAGTTTGAAAAGTCGTGAATGAATAACTATAAGTAACGACTATCGCGAGATAAACGATAAACTGGTCTGCGAGCAGGCTTACCTGTCCGAGTTTGGGGTACCGTTGTTTTGCGGTGGAACCATCAGCGCTAGCTGGCAAGAAGAATGGGACGAGGAAAAGCGAGCCTGCAGACGAGCGAAGTCTTTTTTTTTTTAATTCGTCCCTTAAGAGGTTTCAAGTACTATCTAATAGGAAGAAAGAAAGATGTGCACAAAAATGACAGAATGTTGCACGAGGAGATTTTTGCGGCACATAGAAAAATATAGTTATGGAAGAGACGGAAAAAAGCGGCGACAAAACCCGCAAATCCAGCAAATGATAGTTGCCGAATATGCAAATATTTTTTTGACGTTAAATATGAAATTGAAGAATCGCTCTATTCTTATCGCCATTTTCGCCGGCTCCCGTTGACGGCACCGCATTAATATACCGTGAAACCTCTATTAAGCGGACACCCTCGGTGAATGCTATAGTGTCCGCTTAATACAGGGTGTCCGCCTAATACAGGTTTCGATAGGTAATGTCATATGAGGTGTCAAATGCCATTCAAATGAACAGTGGAAACGTTTAGAATACTCCTAGAAACTATGACGATATAAGTACTTGCATTAATTTCTTTATCAAAGTGAACCAATGAATGATTTTCCAGTAATCGGATACTCATGTTTTGCGCACAGGATTTTGGGATCGCCAGGGGGCAAACATTGCGAGTCGCTACAAAGAATTGTATGGCGTGGAGTTGTTTCTCCGTTAAAAGCAGTGTCTTTGGACATAGAATGCCGAACTTTGCCGTGATTTTATGAGAAACGGAGGTGACTAGTGTTATTGCGTTGAAATTTCAAGTTTCTGTGTGATTAATGCGATAAATTCTATAGATAAACACTCCTTGCGTTGGCCTGAAATTCATCCGATTGCTTCGAGTCGTTTTCTCCTCTCAACAACGTCTGAATCGACCAGCCGTTAATGCCGTCCAGTGACGTCACTCACTTCCCGAAAACCGGGTAGTGATTTTGATTGGTTGATTGTCTAAACATTCGCATAATTATGTATAATTATGAAAAATTTTAGCGGTATTGTCGCTTGATGTTCAGCGGATCGCATCCCTGGCATTCTTTCGTTTAGATCAAACATTTCGATAAGCTTAATCTTTATCTTAAACAGCAAAATTGCCCCTGTCTTCGAAACTGAAATGCTAAATTAAACTGCGAATGAAGAATCATTGCGGACAGGCGGTAGGATTTTCATTTAGAGCCGCTTTGTGGTTTCGGCGGCTGGTGATTTTGTTTACGCGCAGTTTTCTAAGATCAATGTTATAATTCGAACTTCTTGCTATTTTTACCGTCAAGTGTAATGATTCTGTTAGCTTTTCTTTCTTGTCTCCTTGTTTTTTTCTTCGTTAAGGACCAAATAGCTTCGTTTCAATTAAAGAAAATCATTGTGTTTTTTAACTAAGTGTTCCGTGTGTGTGTTTAATTCATTGCGTGATTGCGACCGAGTTTAAATATAGAATTTAGTACAGTCGGTTCAGAGTTGTACTGCGTGCAGTTGATAGTTTGAACGTTAAACATGAATTACGATCGAAAAAAATAAAGCAGTTCTGTATCATGCAGACATTTCCAAACGATATTTCTCGGTTTGCCACTTGAAAATAGTGTTTTACTTTTTGCATGAATTAAAGCAAAGGTCAAGGAGTAGTGACGTCACTGGATGGCATTAACGGCCGGTCGATTCAGACGTTACTGAGGGAGTAATAACGACTCGAAGTAATCGGATGAAATTCAAGCTATCCTTGCGTGAGGTTGAGTGTGAAATTTATGTTTACTGAATTTACACAGTGATCCACATGAAGAAAAGGTCTCGAAATATATAGTGCAAATTTAGGTATACATGTAGGGTGATTGGCTCATTTAAGCTTTTTAGCTTTAATTACCTGTGGTGATATTTACAACGAGTGTAACTACGCTCGGCCGCGATCAGCTCTGTGCGGGTTATGACGCTCAACACTCGTAGGACGTGGCCATAAAAATAAAAAATCCTCCTTTACTTTGGTATAAACAAAGTAACATCTACGAAATATTTCATGGAAAGTACATGGTGTTTAAACATTAGTAGATGACGCAGAAATCGTACGAACGAGTAAGATTTCCGATACAATAGTAGTGAGTGTGTAAGTAAATACCAAGTTGATGTGCGAAATTCAGAGATTCTATATTTTCCCTCAAAATGATCAGAAAAGGCATTAGAACTCATTGATGCTCTGGATCATGACAAAACATTTCGCTTGTGCTTTTTTGGCTAGAAGGAATCAATATACCAATGTGGGGAAGATGTTTTTGCTTTTAAAGTTAATACTGTACGTATCAAATTCGACAATACATAAGCTTACCTTCGATCGTTGTCACAAACTGGCACAGCGTTGTGATCGCCGCCGAGCCGAACGTAGTTACACTCGTTGTAAATATCAGCACATGTACTTACAACTGGAAAGACTTTAATAAATGAGTGCACATTCCCCGCTCATTTATACTTGGTAAGTTAGTACTATATATTTCGAGACCATTCAGTAAATTTCACAGTCGACCTTTCGCAAGAAGGAGTGTTTATCGATAGATTTCATCGCATTGATCCCACAATAATAATAATAATAATAATAATAATAATAATAACTTTATTTGTATAGCGGTATATACAAAAGCTCTATATCGCTTTACAATCAAAGAAAATAACTAAATAAAAGAAAATAACTAACAATAGCACCAAAACAAAAAGTCAACTGAAAGCGAGTCTAAAAAGATAAGTTTTCAATCTAGATTTAAAAACATCAACTGATCCACTTAATTTAATGTCTAAGGGAATATCATTCCAGTGCTTTGGGGCAGCGACCGAAAAGGCCCTGTCCCCATAGCTCTTCAGGCGCACACTCGGTACTTCTAATAAATGTTTGCTAGCTGACCTAAGATTTCTTGTAGGGTTATATGGGACTATAAGTTGACTTAAATACGGAGGCGCCAGGTTATTGAGAGCTTTAAAAGTTAACAGTAATACTTTAAAGGTAATTCGCTGCTCCACAGGTAACCAGTGTAGCTCCTTAAGGACGGGGCGAATGTGCGCAGCCCTAGGTTGCGCAGCTACAAGGCGTGCAGCGCAGTTTTGAACGCGCTGGAGCTTCTGAATAATATACTCCGGTGACCCGAGGAGCAACGAGTTACAATTGTCCAGTCGACAAGTAACAAAAGCATGGACGAGGGTCTTTGTGCTCTCGGAAGTCAGATACGTTCTAATCTTCGCGATATTCCGAAGAAGAAATAAAGCAGATTTACAAACCGAACTCACATGCTTATCCAGTGACAAGGTCTCATCAAAAACAACTCCTATGTTCCTAGCTTTGTCAGACCGCTCTACACGATGATCACCAACCAGGATACTATCTAAAGATGGGCGTGGCCGATATTTTGAACTGATAACAAGCAGTTCCGTCTTGTCCCTATTCAACTTAAGTTTGTTACAAGACATCCAACGGTCGATATCTCTAACACAAGATTCAACCTGAGAGACAGAATAAGCTTGATCATCCCCACTGAGAGAATTGAAAGACAGATACAACTGAGTATCATCAGTATAGAAATGATAGCCCATGTTTTATTGTCTGACAATATCCCCCAATGGGGAGGTATAGAGCAGATATAAAATCGGTCCAAGCACGGAGCCCTGTGGTACTCCGCACGACAGCGAACGCGTGACAGACCGCGCACCACGAATGCTCACAAAATGAGTTCTGTCGCTCAGGTATGATTTAAACCAGGCCAGAGCTAGATCGCAAAGACCGAAGCGGTTTGCTAATCTCTCAATCAGTATAGTGTGATCAACCGTATCGAAAGCGGCCGATAGATCTAACGCACCAACATTAGTCACCTCCGCTTCTCATAAAATCACGGCAAAATGCGGCATTCTCTGTCCAAAGACACTGGTTTTAAACGGAGAAACAGCTCCACGCCATACATTTCTTTGTACCGACTTGCAATGCTTGCCCCCTGGCGATCCCATAATCCTGTGCGCATAACTAAGTCACCGATTACTGGAAAATCATTCATTGATCATAGTACCATAAAAATAGATTGCAACTCAAATTTGAGGAAATCATTGAGTGAAACAAGCTCTCAAGAAACAAAACGAAATAGAAAACAATACCGTACCGTGCAACTAATCAAATAAGTTCGTCAAGTCACGTTTTCTTTAAAAAGCATAAATCGAAAAATTTGTAGTTGGCAATTCGAGGCAATCTTTCGCCTTTCCTATGTCTGGCATGT